CTTTCTCGATAAATTGGCTGCTCTTGGAACTCCCTTTCTGCTTCCATTACAACACTTGGCAGTTTCTGAAGAGAAAGCGTTTGAAGAAGAAAATGAAAGAGCACAAAGATGAATTCAAGGATGTTGAAGCTTCAGAAACGGTTGCATGTCATATCATCCATTCAGTTTTCTCTTCTGCTTCTTAATTTGGAAATCTCTTTATTCTGTTTATGTTGAAACTGAGCTTGGCATGGAGTACTCTGTTTTATTCTAACATCTAAAATATATTTCTTCATTTCTTTGTGGATACTCTGAAAGTCAACTTTTGAACTCTGGATTTGCCTATTTGCAAATTGTGATTCAGTTCCTAAAACTATCATAAATCTTTGAGTTCCTTTCTCAATGACTACATTTGGGACCATTCCCCGCCCCCTGCCTCTCTCTCTCTCTCTCTCTCTCTCTCTCTCTCTCTCTCTCTCTCTCTCTCTCTCCCTCTCTGTGTTCCCCAGACAGAGTCTTGGTGTGTAACTAAGAATAATATCAAATTCACAATTCTTTTGCCTCCATCCCTCCATGTTGGCACTACATGTGTGTATCCAAATATCTGGCTCAAGTTTATTTTTAATATGTATTACATTCGAAACAAAATAGTTTGTTTTATTTCCTAAGTAAAAAAAGGAAGAAAAGTTTAAAATTATTAATATCTTGTTAATTATAATATTTGAAAAAGGGTCTCATGTCAATCCTTTTGTGCGTGAAAGAGGAAAACCATGAATTCTGGAGAGCAGAAAGATCTAACTTTCTATCTTTGTTACATCAAATACTTGCTCTTTTAAACTGAGGAGTGTTCCTAACTCACCTTCTCCTATTGTCTCTTCTACTATAAAATGAAGATAAACAATAGGCTTATCATGTGGCATTGTGTGGATGTGCAAATCTACATTCAGTAAGTGCAGTATCTATTGGTGGTAGGGGATCCATAAGGGTCAGTTGTTTCTCTTGTTCTCCATGAACACAGTGCAAATATGTCATCTTTTATTAATATATGTGGCTCACTCTCTCATAACACTATTATCATGCAATTATTAACTGCTAAAAAGGAAAATGTTTTCATAAATTTAAAAATGATAATGACATTGTACAGTATTCTAAGTGCTTCGTAAGCATTATTTCACTAACCCCCGCATAGAAAGTTAACCTCAACATTCTTATTTACAGAAAAAGATACAGAGGTCTACACTGATTGACAAGCTAGTTAGTGATGAGTCGAGACCTGAATTCAAACAGTCTGGTGCGGGAACCTCACCATGGTTAATAATATGTTCTGTGACCTGATATGGCAGTGTTTTTGACTGAATTACATATAATGGATTATATACACTGATGCATATAAAGCCATGTACAGAATGCATGCCACGTGGTAAACTCCTACTACATTACAACCTTTCTAAAGGGATGAAATGTATTTTGTAATACAATTAGGTCTCCTCTTGTAATAACCTTTAAAAAATCTTTAGTGAGCTAAAATTACATAATCATAAAATCCACCCATTTAAATCCCCTAGTTTACTTGGTTTTAAAGTGTCCTTACAGACTTGTGCAAAGAGTACTGTGATCCAAGTGTAGAATGTCTCATCATCCCAGAGATACTGTATTTTCATAGATTAGGTTATTAAAAGGAAATAATACATATTAAAATGACAATCTCTCTTACAATGGTAGTTGAATTGCAACATGATGCAGCTTCTCTAGAAAATAATTTGTCAATTATTAGATAGAAATTATTTAACATTTTTGGGTATTTTGTTCCAGACAAAAAAAACTCCAAGTGAGCATACACAGAGACACCAGCACATCAGGACTTATTGTAGCACTATTCACATTAGCTAAGTTATGGAGCCAGCTTATATGTCCTCTCATTTGGTTACCTGCACAAGATCAAGCTAGCCTACAGTCCAGCCTAGATAGAGGAGGAGTACACAGACCATACCCTAGCAGGGGAGCTATATGCAGTTGGTGGCTACTAGGAGAGGAAGTGTCTATTCCCCCTGACGCCTGGGAGTGTAGATGCCCATTTTGCAGTGAATGGTCATGTGATATGAGCAACTCTAATCAGAATTGATGGGTTTAAAGATAAAACATGACTTTGTTGGAAAGGGTCTAAGAGGACTTGGAGGAAAGTAGTAATGGGGTACATATGATCAAAATGTATACATCTATGATAGTCTCAAAGAATGAATGAAAATACGATTAAAAAAGGAAGGGGGAAAAGTAATCCCAGTTCTTAACATACTATACTGAGAAAGGTGACAAATTCTTGAAAACATTTTTAAATGTTTTAGAGGGGGAATTATTGTAAAAAAAAAAAAGATCTGGAGACGTTAATTTATTTCAGTTATAAAAATGATCACAAAGTCGCAGCAATGCACATTTCCTCAAAAATGAATGTATGATTTTATTCTGTGGATAGCCATAGTAACAATAATGAAAAATAAATTATTCAATATGTAAGTCCAGAAGCTTGTCTAAATGTTTTACATGTGTTAACTTATTGAATTTTCCAAAGGCTATAGTTAATAGTATTATTAGGGTCATTTCTCAAATGAGAAAATTGAGACACATTGATTTTATGTTGCTTTATTGAGTACACAACAGGTTAATGGTGGAGTTACAGTTAGATGAATAAGTAGGTGGCCATAAATTGCATTTTAAACTCAAAATTAAATAAAGTATGTGAATTACTCTATAATTTAAAAATGGAAAATGTAAGCCCCAGTGCTAGTCATTTCCTCAATCATGTAGTCATAAAAGAAGAAACAAACCAGTTTTGTTAGAATTAACATAAAATTTCAGTTACCCAGGGTTCAACTGGAGGGCAAATTATGTTGAGTATAAGATAATTGATTTTCATAATGATGAATTGAGTAGAAAGGTGAGGTCCTTTGGTCCACACCAAAACAGGGAGGGACTGGAACAGAGACTTCCATATAAACTTGGTCTCTGGGTTAAGAAAAAAGATAGGCCAGGGAATTGTCATGAACACAAGGCTATGGTATGAAGTTCTGTTGACTTGGTTCATGTTCATGATGTAGTATTATGGGAGAAGTTCCTTCATAATGAATAACACAGAGTGACCCCCACACAAGCTCAGGTGCTGTTTTCAACCTCTAGGAATTTCTAAAGTCAAACATTCAACATTAACAATGGGCAGGATAAGGGTACCGCTAGATTATCTACTACAGTGCAAAACAATGGACCAGAGATCATTAGAATCTTTTAGGAAAAATTTCGTGTAATGTGAGTTGACAAAATTTAAGTAGTATATTTAATGCACCAAATGCTTTAAAATTTCATAAAACAAAATAAATGTGCAGATAAAATCAACATGAAGTGATGAGATCTCCACATGTCTTCCGATACTATGTTAGTCCTCAGGGAGGAGGCTTCCAGGTCAATGTAAGCTTGATTTCTCCAAGTCTTGTGTCTAAAGTACATGTGGTATGTGGTGTGTGCTGTCTTCAGCAATAGTATATCACCTTCAAGTTCTGGCAGGCAATCAAGAACAATAGCCAACTACTTCAAGGGATGTTTCTCCTGCTTGGCACTGAGATTTTTGCTAAGCTAGTCTGTGGTAGTGAACTAACTCTTTGTCTCTCCATATATGTATGTCTCATCATTATCATCACTGCTGAATTTTTATGAAAATTGCCAAGGGAGAAAAACAATCAATAGTCATACCTAGCTGTAAAACCTGTAGGTAATGACTAGCCCCACAAACTATTTCAATGGTGCAATAGAGACTTACAACTTAGTGGTAACTAACAGCTGTCTAATTGGATTAAGGCCCACTCTCTCATATATAGTGTCTTCTATATATGAGAGAGGAGCTTTGCCCATGAAACATGAATAATATGATTTCTAAACCAAACCTAAATAATGATAACATTATTTGACATACAAGCACAGATGAGGGAAATCTCATCAGTCCCCAACCCTAGACGAAGAACTATAGATAATCCATGGCTGTTCAGAAAGGAAGAATTAGCCTTCTCCAGGAAGGAATCCCATGGTTGGTTCTCTCACCCCACATTGTCAGCACTAAATGCATATACATGTGAACAACACTTGAGCAACATCAAATGGGCTCAGGAGTTTGTGTGTGTGTGTGTGTGTGTGTGTGTGTGTGTGTGTGTGTGTGTGTGTGTGTGTGTGTACATATATGTAAAATAATAAAGAGGTTAGGAGTTTGAGAAGGAGTGAGGAGAGTACATGAAGATCTTAAGGGACAGGGAAGGGTGGAACTGATGCAAAATTATAAAAAACAAACAAACCCAAATTCCAAATTAAGAAATTCCCCATCCTAATACATAAATATAAGAAAAGCATAAAAAATTATATAAAAAAATAAAGAAAATTTAAGTTTTGTAAAAGAAAACTGGAATCAAATCATATAAAAGAAAATATATTATCTGAAAATGGGATAAAATAATGAATAAAAAGAGATAAAATGCACAAAAATGGTTAAACAGGGGGCTGTCATTTAAAAAGGGCTGAACAGTGCTTAGTCTTACTACAACATGCCGTGTTTTCTTGATACTCATAGGAGACCTGCCCTTTCCTGTATGGAGATGGAAGAGGAGGGGATTGGGGGTAGGTGGGTGAAATGGGAGAGGGGGACCGGGAGGGGAGGATGAGGCTGTGCCCTGGATGTAAAATAAATAGATGAATTAAAAAACACAAAAAGGGTTAAACAGAAGATTATATGCATCTGAAGAGGGGAATCTGTGAGCTGAAAAGGAAATATGACTAATTAACCCTCTCTATGGCAAAAATCAGAAGTGGTGAAAACATCTGGATATTAGAAAGGCTGTCTGCCATAAAGTCAAAGAATTCTCAACAGGAATGGAGAAGGGGTGAGAGGTCACATAAGTCTCTGACATTTCCAGAATCCTCACATTTGGAGAATGCACTGGCTTCAGGGAAGGAAAAACAAAATACCTAACCCTTTGCTAATATTGCAGAGCTTGAAAGAAAAGCACCATGTTAAAGGCACTCACAGAGAAAAAAAGGGTTATCTGCAAAGAATAATGATTGTGGAACCATATTAGGCTTTGAGAGACCACTGTCATCTTTAAAGAAATACCAACATCATGGAACACAAGGTAGGTGGTTAGCATGTGTCATTTACTTTATCACTAACATGTAAATGAAAATGGTTTCCCAAGTCTTCTATTTCATTACTTTGCAGTGTATCAGAATTCTTTCCATGTGCTGAGCTTTGTTCTGAAAATGCACCGTCTAGAAGCTTTATGACCCAGAAAAGGTTAGTTAATCTTTCCATTTCATTTTCTTCATCTATAAATAGGAGTTCTAATGGGTTACTATGAAATTTTATGTCTTAAGTGAAATGATACATATAAAATACCTAAAATTGCTGGGGATACAGGAAGCAATAAATGTCATCTACTATTACTATCACGGTTTATTGTATGATCACAATGTCTCTGTGGAAGAGGCTTTATTTCTGTTTTCCATGGGACTTGTCTTATTTGATAGTTAACACCCTATCCAGAATTACAATTAGGTCTAGGACTGAAATGTGTGTCTCTTGGACCTTAGTGTTCTGAGTTCTCTCGTCGATTACTACTCTTACACAAAATGGTTTTCAGTAAAGGATTTATTCTAGGCTGGGCACTAGAGAAGATAAAATATCTCTAGACCTCTCAGAGGTTCAAATAATCCCTTTATATTCACTGGCCTGTTGGAGGTGGTTCACCTACTCTCCAGCCAGTAAATATTAATGCTGCCCGGGATTTCTATTGAGCTGTTGCGCATTGCTGTATCTGTAAGGCAGACCAGAAAATGCAGTTTTCAGTCTGGACATATTTTATTTCTCAGAAAAATCAGATGTAACTTAGGAAGAGGTGAGACAGTTGATTATTGGTTAGACAAATGCCATAGCATGAAAGAGGTATGATGTAAGAACCAGGTGGAACCTTTGGAAGAAAGGCCACCAAGAACATCTAAAATGTCCTGCCAATTCTCCATAACGTTCTGAAAATACAGCCTGGGCTGATATCTGGTTTTGCTCAGCTTATGCCTTTAGGTTCCTGAACATGCCGTACTTCATCTTTTACTGATTTTTTTCTTGGGACCCGATGTAATACCCTCCTCACAGCATGCATTCCTACCACCATACCTCACAAAGCTATCTCAAATGTGCAATGAGGTTATGAGGGGCCCTCTTTGTTCCCAAGTTTTGGTTTGGTTCTCCATATGTCAGTGAATCTCTGGGTACCCTACCATGACAATGTCTACCACATTGTGTTTTAAGTTTGGGTTTATGGCCAGCCTTCCTTTCTCCCGCTCCTCAAACCGTTCACACTTTAAAAGACAAAAAAGCTATTTTTACGAGGTTGGATATGAAGTGTGCTAATTTGTCTTCATCAGTTGTTCACACAGTATCTAGCATTTGTATGACAGCAGTAAACATTTGTGGTATACACAAATTAACAAATTTTTATTCTGAGCATATCAATAACTCATAAAGAAAAATGGTATATAGAAAGAGCAGTGATACCCATCATTCCTGAGGGCCTTAAAAAGGCATGCTGAGGGACAGGGTTACAGAGATTTTCTTTTCTTTTTCTATATTGTATAACTACTATGGTCATTTTATAGGATCCTGGGTCTGAAAAAGCTACTAAATGCTGAGCAGGGACTCAAACCCTAGTATGGCTGTGACTTCTTTACAGTTTACATCCATAAACTTCACACTGAGGCTGACAGATGGTCTTGGCCCACGTTGTCCGTCCTGAGGAGGTGTTCCATGGGTCTCCAGAGCTCAAGTCAGCTAGCTGCCTGGGAGTTTGAGTCTTGCTACTCAGTGAGGCGTAATTTATCTTGTCCGAAGACAGAAAGAGATGAAGGAAGGAAGAGGTGAGGGGCTTTAGTTTTGAGGCAAAGAGGAAGCAGAATGACAAATGAAATAAACTGAGAATCCCACATCAGAGCAACCAGAGAGCCGATCTCAGACAGGCAGTCCATCCATCAACGCTGTTCTGACAAGCAACTAATTAAATCTCCCTGGGGAGAAGTTTCCCATCTTGACTCAGGGCAAGTGCTGAGGCCTAAGCCTGCACAACACATGGAGCTTAGGCAGGACAGCTTCCCAGATGGTCTGATAATCCCTCAGTAATCCTGACACCCAAGTCCCACTGGGAAACGAGCAGAGGCAGTGGATTATACAGAAGGAAAACAGCATAACAAGAAACTCAAAGGCCTGCATTTAGTGAGCACTTGAAATCAATTTCAAGAAACAGAACGTGTATTTCATAGGATATTCCAAGAGAGTCGGATGGAATAGACAGTATCCTCTTCTACAGATAAGGGACCAGTGACCACGACTGCGGATTCTCTGTGTCTGTCACTTAGCTCCAAGTCCCCATTCCTTTCATAATTTGTATTGGGCTCAAGCTTTGCCACTGTATGACTTAGATCATTAACCAGCTAGTTTCCTATTTAGCTTCATATAACGAGAAGGCCAAAAATGGAGACCAGAAGGCCAAAGAAATGGAAGCAGACTTCTTGGTTTCTCTGTCCTGACATCATCAGCTTTGTGTAATAGCTATAGCCTTCACCTGCTGTGGCTTTTTGAGTCACTCCTAGTTCTGTCAGAGCCACTCAGGTGAACCAAGGCAGCTGGGTGGCGCTGCCTCCTCAGAAACCTGAGTACTCACCCTGCAAGGGCGGCCTCACCTCTTTGTACACTCTGCTGTGGGCAGCTGCTGCTTCCTCTGGTTGTAACAGGACTGATACCCATTTAACCATCTCTCTGTATTGAAGCCCTTCTGGCTAAAACTCTTGACAGGCTGTCTGTTTGATGACTGAACACAGATGGACACAGATCTTGTTCAATGTCATGTAGCCAGTGGCCATCGTGGTCGTTATTAAATCTAGGTTTTCCACATAAGTTGAGACAGACAGCTTTGCTATGGGGAGCAAAGACTACAGTCAATATACAGCCACTGAAATGAATCAGTGTGTGTGTGTTTACTAAAATAGCAACGTGTATACCCTGCTTCTTTCATCATTTCAATATTTGAAGAGAAAATACAGGTATGGGTGTAACTTTTCAGACAGTACAAGTTCAATTTCAGCTCTGCCATGTAACAGCCACATAAAGTTTAGAAAGCTATTGAACCCTGTTGAGACCTATTTTTCTATCTATGACATATGGTACCTCAGTGCTGTTGTGATGATTTTTAGTATAGTATACATGTCAATAACTTTGCAGAGTTTCAAATTGTTTTACTACTTATACCCTAAAAGTTAATCTGTTATTATTTCACAGATACTGGCAGAAGACAGGAATTTCATGGTGAGGGACAAAAAACTTTCTCACTCAAGCAAAAGCATTAGCCAACACTTCTCATGGTTGCCATTGGTTGTACATGACTCCCAGGTCTCATGGGGATCCCATCATAGATGACTGCACACATAGTAGGTCTTCTATAGAGTAAGATTGCCAAGCTTGGGAATTCACCACTCTTATGGCAATAGAGAGCAAGACTGAATGCCTTATTTGGAAAACCATTACCCCAGGTCTCATGATTTTTTTTTTCATGGAAAATAAAAGAGGAGAAATAAGAGCTGTTGAAGCTTTTCATTTTCAATGTAACCAGCAAGACATTGTAAGGACACTCAAAGCCTAGGTAGCCTGCCTCTCCCACATAATTTACCAATAGTTTACTAATTATAGGAAATGGTAACTGCCATCACAAATCTCACAGAATCCAACCACAAAATAACACCTGCCCTAACATATAGATGTAGACATTGACCAGAGAAGTGAATGACTTGTTTAAAGATAATATGGTTTGGGGACCTGATGGTTGTGGGTTCAATAATGAGACATGATAAAAAGGCTGCTCATGTCATCTGTTCAGGCTGCTGAGTGAGATTTAGGGCTCAGGTCTAGTGTCTACAGAATTCTTGAACCTGAAAGCTAAGGACTGCTAGACAAAATGATAACACACTGAGCTATGTGCATTGAGGTCCTTGCTTCCCAGTCAACTCCTCAGAGGGCAAAGAGTAGGGGTCAGGGTAGAGGTAGGGTACGTGAAAAGGGAGGCAAGGAGGGCCTCCATCAAAGCAGCTTCGCTTTCACTGGGATTATGAACTCTTTCTGATAATTTTTTCTAGAAGGAGGGAATGACCTGGCCAAGAGGATGTGTACCTTCAGCCTCAGATAATCAGGAGACTCAGGAAGGAGAATCAGTTCAGCCCATGAATTTGAAACCAGCTTGAATAATATACTAAGACCCCATGTAAGAACTGAGAGTGGTACAGCTACAAAATTCCCATAGTGAACTCAACTACCTTTTTAAAGGGAGAAATGTAGACTCAGAAAGGTGAAAGGATTTGGGCAAGCTTACAAGTGAGTAATACAACCACTTCTCACTCTGCTCTCCTGGATGTCAGATCCACAAGTGTTCTTTGCATCTGGCTGGATCATTAGTTAAGGGTAATGACTATTATACAATGGGTTGTCCCTTTAAAAGCAAGCAATATCAAGCTACTGAAAGGAAGTCATGTGCTTAGAATTCTCTGGTCAGACATGGCAATGAACTTCTTACCAGCCACAGTAGCATTATGTCTATAACTAGAAAAGCTTGGTGCCACCAAAAAAAGGATAACATCGGGTAATGAGCTGGCTGATTTATTCACTATTCCATTCAAATATTTTTTGAAGGCCTGTGCACACTGGACACCTTGTTAGTTCTCAGGGGTATAGCTACAAAGATGATCGACTTAGTAAGTTAACTGGGAATGTCTCATTCATTCCTTTATCAAAAGGATAAGTTGAGGACTATTGAGTCAATCATGGGTTGGTGCTACTTGGGTGCTAAAGACATTACACTCCAAGTTTCCACTCCCAGGCTAGTGAAGGAGAGTTAGCTAATATTTGTATTACAATATAATCATTATTAAACAGAGATGCACCCAGGAACACACACACACAGGTGATGCTCACCCTGCTTTGAGGGTGTGGGAAAGAGGCCCTAAAAACACTCAAGAGGACAGTGAGGTCTGGAGAACCGCCCAGTCTCCTCACCTATAACACAGGAATAAGAACGCCTTGCCCTCAGGGATATCATGCAGGTGTGATGAGACAGTCATGTGAAAGGTCTGTCCCGGGAGGTGAGTGTTGTTAGACCCAGCTCTCTATCTTTTCATACACAGGAGCTGACTAGGACGTTAAAGCTCTCTCTCCTGTGGCTAATGGACTGTGAGATCAGCAGCCCCCAGAGGAAGAATCCTTTGTCTTCAGCTTTCTTAGCACCAGGTCCCAGCAAGTAACTTACTCAGACATCGGCCTTGGAAAGCACCCCACACCACTAGCCACTTCATTAGGGGATTTCACCCTGTGGCTAAGAATACGCCAAACACAATTTTTCTGTGAAGTGATTTCCTCTCCCACCATCTCTTCCCTCACCAAGTGATTCATGGCTCACTGAGAGCCTTTTTCCTTCTCACCCATCTGGCCTTCCTACCTCAGCCTGCAGGGAGGGTGTAATCCTATGTTTGCAGTTTTGCAGATGGTTTCTATGGAAATTATGACAATATTACAGCTATTGTGAAGCCACATCACTGCTGATTAAACAAAGAGATGAAACTTAAAAGGAGAAATAAATTTGGAATCAAGCATCAACCAAGTCCTTGGAGACAATGAATAGTTTTTGTAAAGTTGTTCCTATCAACGTCAACAATAACAAGCTAATACTGTTTTTGTATAAACAATACAGAGGAGGGTTATTTCTCAAGCCCTTTGTAAAGGATCTACAGTACAGGCAGAAGCAGGCCCCGGGCCAGTGCTCACTGCAATAACCTGAAATAACAGCTGACAATTTCTGGATATGTGTCAGGAGGATTGAGGTATATCGTTTGAATAACTGAATGTCCCACTTTCCCACCAGTGTCGCACAAGACTGGGCTCTAATTGCGCATGATTGGGCATGGTTTGTCAACTGCCTTCTCAACCAGAAGAACTGTGAAGTGGAAATGCTTATGTAGGGAGGAAGAACAGTCAGCATCCATCAACAGATCTCAAATAAAGAGACAAACAACAGATGGCACCTTCCATGTGCACATTCTTTCCTGAGTGCTTCCTTATTTTCCTGAGACTGGCATGAAAGGTTTAATGTTCTTTTTTGCATCCATATACATTATTTATTTCGATTTTATGTATATTAACGTTTGCCCGAATGTGTGTCTGTTCAGCATATACATTCAACACCTTAAGAAATCAGAAGAGGATGTCGTATCCCTTGGGACTAGAGTCACCAACAATTGTGAGCCCCATGGTTGCACATTGGGAAGTGACCTGGGTCCTTTAGAAGAGCACACAGTGTTCTTAATCACTGAGCCACCTCTCTCGCCTCTACGATTCTTTTTCTTTCCAAAAAAAGTTCATTCTTATTATCATTATCATTATTATTTTGGGTTTTTGAGACAGGGTTTCTCTGTGTGGTTTTGGTGCCTGTCCTGGATCTCACTATGTAAACCAGGCTGGCCACGAACTCATCGAGATCTGCCTGGCTCTGCTTCCCGAGTGCTGGGATTAAAGGCATGTGCCACCACCGCTCGGCAAACTTCATTATTTTTAATCTAAACTAATTTAATTATGTTATTTTGGTATGCACATGTGTGTGTGGGAGGCTGGGTCATCGGTAGGAATGGCCATGCCCAGTTTGTAGGTGGGCGCCTGGGGATAGAGGTATTTGAACTCAGGTCCACAAACTTTCACAGCAAATGCTTTACCCTCTGGCCATCACTTCTGCCTTGCATTGCTTTTATTCAATTAGAAACATAACTAAAGGACAAGGAAGAAATAGAAGGAAATATGGTCTCCACTATCTTTCCGCTCAGAAATGTATCACTGATAAAATTTTGTTAAGTTCTACTCAGTTTCTTAAAACTGTAGCTGTGTTTGGGTTTGGAGGTATAGATTGATTTCAGCTTTGGGCCACATGAGGATTATGAATCCTTTCTAAATTATAGTATTCCTACCCAAGGAACTGATAAGGCCTTCTTTCTGAAGCCTGGGAGAGGGAATAAGGTGAAGTGCTTCCTCACATCGTTCTGCAACATCATCTGTCATGGCTGTGTAGTTTGGGTCATCTGTGTCGTATTTTATTTATAATTCTGTTACTTAATATTCGCAGTTATATTGCATATTGATTATTAAAATACACAGGGTGACTTCTTCAAACACAGTCTCCAATTCTTCTTCATTTCCTTATATTATTCAACAGAGGGATTTGACTAAACTGATGTATGCCAAATACACTAAATATCTATGACTTGAGTGAACCCTACAAAAGTCAGCTAGTAGCATGGGATATGTTCTCTCATGCGGAGTAAAGCTGAGAGAGACTGGAAAGGCTGCTCACATGAGGAGAAGGAAATTTAGGTCAAAATTCCACCCTTTCATAGGTATTTTCTACTAATTGTGTAAATTAATACACAACAAAACTTTCCATCATGAGTGAGACATTGACCTGATGTCTCTTCCTTCACACATAAAGTGGGTATAACTATGGTGGTTCCCTCTGAGAATGTGTGTAGATACAACAAAATTAAAATAAACACACAGAACTTTACAAAGTGCCTGACCCATTGTTATTCACAATGAGTAAAATGTGGAAAGAATACAGTGTTCATGGTGGAAAAATAAACTCTGCCATACTCATATGATAGGACATTATCCAGCCATAAAAATAGAGTACTGGTATATCAGAGAACACAAACTGATTATGAAAATATTATGTTAAATGAAAGAAAAGAAACACAAAGCATACATATCATACAGTCTACTCATGTGGAATATCCAGGATGGATAATGCATAACAAGATAAAGCAATTTGGAGGCTAGAGGGGAAAAAAAGAATGGAAAGAAAATGTTGAAGGGCATACAGTCTTCTTTCGGGGGCAATTGGAGATTCCTTAGAAGTAGTTATTTGTCATGATTAGAGAGTCTTATAAACATACTTTGTATCACTCAAAGGTAATTGGAATATATATATATATATATATATATATATATATATATATATGCAGTGTTTTCATATTATAAGCACTTATTTTTATCCTTATTTCTCTCTCAAGATTTTATTTTATTTACATGTTAAGTGAGACAGTAAGACCAAACTTTGAAACTGAAATTTAAAGTTGCTTCTCGTCTAGCACACACAGTCTAGTTGGGTGAATCTGTTTTACGGTGCCTATCTCTCTCTGAAGTCATCAGTCTTCTGCTTCCCTCATCTTTTGACCTGAAGAGCACCTGGTGCTCCTCTGAGTCTTCGTGTTTGAAGGTGGCTTTACTTTTTTATCCAGTCTTTTCAAGAACCTCATAGATTGGTGAATTGACCCATGCAGAGGCAAATGACAGACACTCAGTGGAAATCTGATGGGCCCATGAATGAGCCAAAGAACAAGTGAAAGAGCCAATGGAGAGTCATTGATTCTCACTGACTGTCCCCAGTAGTCCGTCCCAGCTCTGGCTGAATTTCTGATCTAGGACAAGTCTACTGAACAGTGAACACACATCTAATGGGTCAACATCTCACTCTCCCAAAGAAGACTCTTTCCATACAAAGTGTGAACCACATGTATTGAGTGAGCCGTTATTTCAGCTCTCCAAACTCTATTTCTTGACTCAGTTGACATGTCTTAGGTGTGAGTGAGACTAACCTTGTCTCCATCCACTTAATGATATCATGTACTGTGCATAACTCCAAGAGGATTTCTTTCCATGTACCTCTTCTCCTTGCAGCTGCAGATATTTATAGCCTTCCAAGCTCTCCCTTTTCTAGCATCCTAGCAAAGCTTTGTATTCAGCCCCTCCTTCCTAAGCACACAGACTTCCTTTATTTGTTTCTTTCCCTCTGTAATTTACTGATAGTCCTCTTGGACCTCCCCCATTCTCCTGTCTTTGTTTTTCAACAAATCTTGTTTCACTTCATAAATCTGCATTCTCTGAATATCTTGCATTTTTCTCCTCTTCAATAAATGAAGGTATGTATTTATTTTTTTTAATTTCCTCTTCCAATCTTAGGCATCTGAAAGAGAACAATCTAAAATGCCTTTCAGATTTCCTTGCTC